GTGCCCGTTCTTTGAGACATGTGTGCGCGGATTTGTAATGGACGATCTATGAAGCGTGTATGCAAGACAGTTGGCCCCTGTTTTTCACTATTCTTCCTCTTCTTCTGCTCCAGGTACTACTGATGCCAGCGATGGTGATGCTGAATAATGGTGATGCTGAATGATGATGATGATGATGATGATGATGATGATGATGATGGTCACTGCACGATCGAGCTGTGATTCATTCAACGTATGAATCGCCAAGTTAGAGCTGATGCCATCGACGTTCCAGTCGAAAGTTGCAGGGGGCGATCACTGCAGCTGGCAGTCGATGGGTTCCTTCTTTTTCCATTCAAGTGAAAGTCACGCCCCCATTAGGGAGGGAAAGAAAACGGTTATGTTTTCTATATCAGGTGGGAAATTATGGGTACTCAGAAAGGACGAGGAGCTGAAAAAGGATCAGATATGCCACCATCCAAGTATTTCTTTTTTCTTGCTGATATCGGCTAAGTTAGTGATCGTAGCAGAAAAACGTTCGTGATCGACGCAAGATGCCTCACTCATCTTCCGCGCCACAGGCACAAGCATCTACTCCTTATGGAATCTTAGGTGTCAAGGTGTCCGTCACATATTCATAAAATCAACCAAAACACATATGCTATATCCAAAACCTACACTCACGTTTTGGAGCGGTACGGAAAATTCTTGAGAAATGCACGTATGGTGTCATAGATAAGCCATCTTTCACATGTAAGCGGGCAAACCATCTTTCACGTCTAATGGGGCAAGCCATCTTTCACATGTAATCGGGCAAGCCATCTTTCAATGTAGTTGGGCAATGGGGGGCATGGCAGCAGTAAACAAATGTGGCAGCACTCACAGCCATAGCGCGGACACGGCAGTATCGTGCCATGGCGCGCGCATGGCAGAAGCACAGTCATGGCCTGATTGCTACCGTCGTCGTGGCAGGAGGAACGAATCTTCTCGGCTTTCATTGTCTGATCTTTGCTTGTCTTCATGCGTATTCCGACGCTTTGCAAGTGTTTGCACTTTTAGCTTCTGTATGGTGCATTCAATCTGCTGCTGCCATGTCCTTCACATGGATCATCCGCAATGGGGATGTCGTGTGCATTGCAGCAGCGTGCCATCGCGTGGGCACAGCAGCAGCGTGCTATGCTATGGCACAGGCGTGAAGACAGCCTGGGCGCCATGGCGCGGGCATTGCGGCAGCAATCAGTCTGGTCGCAAGCCTTTCGGTAGCAAACACTCCGGTAGCATTCTGGCTATGGTGTTGGCATGACAGCAGTCTGGATATTGCCGAGGCGCGGCCAAGGCCGCAGCAATCAGTCTGGTAGCAAGCCCTTCGGTACCAAGCACTCTGGTAGCGTTCTGGCTATGGTGTTGTCATGGCAGCAACAAGCCCTCTGGTAGCACTCTGGCTATGGCATTGGAATGGCATCAGCAAGCACTCTGGCAGTATTTTGGTTATTGCCAAGGCGTGGGCATGAGAGCACCAATCAGTTTGGTAGCAAGCACTCTGGTAGCCTGGCTATGGCGTTGGCATGGCATCAGCAAGCACTCTGGCAGCATTCTGGCTATGGCGTTGGCATGGCGTCAGCAAAAGCACTCTGGCAGCATTCTGGCTATGGCGTGGGGCATGGCAGCAGCAAGCACTCTCGCAGCATTCTGGCTATGGCGTGGAGCATGGCCGCCGCAAACCGCGCAGAGTTCTGGGCATAAGGCAGGGGCGGGGGCGGCAGCCGCAAGTATTCTGTTAAGCAGCGATCAGCACTCCGGTGGCGCCTTCTTGGGAAGAAGAGCATGAGCAGTGCAAACACTCTTGGTCTTGCTATCGACAAGAAGCTCATTTTTGTTTACAGTATCAATTTTAATTTCATGCCAACGGATCTGCGTGGAGCTGTGAGACTTCGAAATGGCGCTGCAGTCTCGGCCACAGAGTCTACGTCCCGCCGCAATCACGTACCTACGCCGGATTTCAATCTAGTTTCATTCCCGCTTGCGCTGCAGTGGAGTTGCTGTTTCTCCAATGCCCGACGCGGGGGCGGCGACGTTATTCGCCCGTCTAGTTCGTTGGTACATTATCTCTCGAAGTAATCTCTGACGTGAGGGTCGTTATATTTGTCAGTTTGTTTGTTTTTGGGTCTTGCCGCACGGCACTCAAAACGAAAACGAAACGAGTGCATCTGCCCACCAAAGGTGGCAAAATACACTCGTTACTATTTATAGCAAACCGATGAGCCTGGCCATTTTCGGGGGGAAGGTGCATTCGTTTCGTTTTTCGTTTCGTGGGCCGTGCGGCAACGCCCTTTGTGTTTTCTTTTGTTTGTTTGGTTCCTAGATGTGTGGTTGGTCGGTTCTGTGGCACGCGCCTCTTCAGTATGCTGAACGTTTTGCGACGGTTGGAGTCCTCTCTCCCTCCTTTTCTCCTCTCGACACGTGGCAGCTATTGATTCTGCTTGTTGGTTTTCATTTTTCATTTGTAGGAAATGAAACAGTTTTCACCTTTGGCAGTAGCCGATGCAGATCCCAGGKGTCGATCCCTTGACCTCAGCTTACCTCTGTACAGTATCTGCACAGTTCCTGGAGTTGAACCCGTGACCTGCACGATAGCCAGTGGTAAGTAGGTCGYCGTAGGTTGTAGGCTGTAGGGAGATTCGAACTGTAGACCTGTAAGGTAGGAGTCCAAGTAGAGTCCAGAGGCCTAGCTGTAGTCCTTCTAGAAGGTCGGCAAGTGGTCAAGTGGTGAGTCTAAGGTAGGCCCACGTTTTCAGACGAAGACAAGTGGCAAGGTCAACAGGTAGGACCTCAGTGCAACTGCACTGAGTCGACGGTACGACTGCCTACAGTCAGCAGAAGGGTCTAGAGAGTTCCAGTCCAGTCCAGCAAGTACCACAGGGGGACTGTGAGCACCAAGGGCCGATGGCAAAGGGCAGACCAACGAGTTTCTGAAGTATAAATCAAGAGGCAGCGCCCAGCCATTCATTCATT